AATAATAAACACATTATTACTTATTAATCGAATGGATTTAGCATGGTTGTATCATTGATGTATGCGGAATACTGGTTCCGCTGAATGCAATGAATGCCTGTAACAGTACAAATCAAATGAATAAAGCATAACCAGGACTAATTACATCAATCAATTAAGTCGAACACTCTTTTTGCTAATTCCTTTTTGTTCCTTTTGCGCAAACTTTCGTTAAACGTCGAGATTCCTTATGTCACATCTCCGTAATTGGTTTCTATGTGTTTTAATGGAAACATTCTTCAAAAGATCGTTGACCTTTTTTTCTGCAGAGATGTACATTTATTTGCGTTGTAAATTTTTAATAAAAACATAATGTTGTTACTTCCTTACGCACAATATTTTTCATATTATAATTTAATAAAATTTGGATAATTTGAAATTGTTAATTAATTTAATTGTGTTTCATGTGTTTGTCCCCAAAGTTGTGTCCACAGCCATCGAACTGGAGCATCGTGATTGGATTGATAACAAACTAACTATCAGCTAGTAAAATTAGATTACTCCGAAATTACCATTTGTAACTTGTTGGAGGCTTTTGATTAACACGTCGTAAGCGATTCCGAATGCGCAGATTAAGGCTGAAAGCCGATGTAATCCACTTTGCGAGATGCACTATTAAGCGTTTTGCTTTAGAAGCTTTCATTGATTTAATTAAGTTCCAAAGTGGTCGCCGGAATGATAAAATTCGAATTATTCATCGCAATGACCTGTTATGAACTAGTTCATAAATCCACAATTTCTCTGCTGAATCCCATCCATCAACTCGAACGACTTTAACCGTTTCCGCAGCTACAACCGAAGAATAATGGATATTCGAATGGGACTCATCTTAAAATATAAAGGAAAAAAAAATGATTTCATACTTGAGGAATTTTGGAAATTTCGCAGTGCGTTCACGTATCTTTGCGCAAATTTGCGAAAACGGAATTCGCTCATCGCAATTTACGAGCCAAACCGTTGAATTTTAATTTCACAATAGTGGAATGCGTATGGTTGGAACGTCCTGGCAATTATTTATTAGTTAATAGTAATTAGTTCCTGGATGTAAAAAAAAAGGTAAAGTCAAATATAAATCTCTTTTTATGAATGTGCGAATAACCAATGAATTAATTTGGAATTAAGTCAAGGTTTAATTGAGAGGAAATCGGAGACTCTTTCCGGTGTTTCTACTAATTTCGTTAGGTGATGATTCTTTCTATCTTATGTAACGGTTTCTGACTGACCTTACGTTTCCTGTAATAAAACGCTACAATTTAATAAATAATAATGATGATAAAAACAAGGCAATAATATATTATATAATTAAATCGTTTGCTAGGGCTTTGAAGAATTCATCTTTTACGATTGTAATTGTACTGTTGTATTAAAAAGAAAAAGATGCATGGTTCAATTTCGAGCTGCAGGAGGTAATCATCGTAATTGGTTGGCAATAAAGTTGCGTGTGGGCAAGATAGAGGAAAACGTAGTTATTTGAAGATGAAATCATGTGTAAAACCGAACGAATCTCGTTAGTATTTGAAGTGCGTCCGTGTCTGCGATACGGAATCAGGCTAAGAAGAATTTCTCTATTTATTGTTCGCAATTCGTTCGTTGGCTTTCTCGTGTTCTGGTCCGTAAGGAATGGGATGCGATGAGGAAAAATCGCGACAGCAATTGATCAAACACAGTATGCATAAATAGAAAGCTATGAGATAGGAAACACTCTGTGCACGAAATGCGTGCTGCATAGAGGTAGTACAGATGATCTTTGACCTTTTAAACGCACTCATCTCCTAATTGAAGGCGATAGTCGAGCACTTTGGATCTACTGCACGTGCAGTAATTAAAGAATGTAAAGTCAATTGAAATCGTTTTACATATGGTGCGAGCTTTTTCCTCGTAGGAGTAAATTAACTCAATGATGGGTGCTTATGATTAACGAAACTTCATTGAGAAATATTAAGTATAAATGCTTGAAATGTTTATAATCAAGTTTTTGAAGAAAATAAACTATTTTTTTCTATAAAGTCTAAATCATATCAAATTGAGAAATTATCATAAGATATATTTTTCAAAATTATTTACTTGGTTTTATAGATATTTTTAAAAGACTATTTAAATAAGTGATGGAAATGTTTCAATTAGGAAAATAATAATACTTCAATATGTCAAATAACTAATCTATGACCAATGTATAAAGAAATTATATATCAAATATATAGATACTTACGAACTAGTTCCGTTCCAAGGGATGTCTAATTTATTTGTAAGTCGAGCAAATTTAGAGAAATTCAAAATATACTTATATTACCACACTTTATGATGTTTTCTACTTTTATATATGTCAAAACCCGTATTACGGACTGAAAAAAATAGATTAAAATAAACAAAATACTTACTTGCAAATACTTTTCAATGTAGACAAAAGAAACAAATGCCACAACAACAAGTAAATCTTCCAAGAATATTATATTTTATTAAAGAAATTATCAATTTTTGTTTGGACAGTTAATTTTTTGAATCACTATATATCACCTTGTAACAAGTTACAGCTTTCAGAATTTTGTTCGTAAGTCCTGGAGTTCGTAAGTTAGGGGATATCTGTCACTACTCACTACTTATAGGTACCTCGCATAGTTCGGCTGTGATCAGGTTGTATTCACTAAAGTCCGGTTTAAAAATTTCAAAACAAACTAAATTTTAGAAACTGAATGATATGTTTTGTATGTATTTAGATTAATCATGTTTCAAACAATCCGTAATTACCCGGACTATGCGAAGTATTACCGCACATTCAAGCTTTTGTCAAATGTTATGATTAGTGAAATATTGGATGAGAGATATTATTAGAATTTAGAATTCATATATAAATAAAGTTTATTGCAACATTCATAAAAAATAAAAAGTTAACAAGAATAAAATAATTACAATGGGCAACTGAAACTTTTTGTTGAGAAAATCATAGTTTGCTATACATTAATTAAAATAAAAAAATAATTCAGTGCGAAGTAGAAATTAAAAGATGGGAAATAAAAAAATGTACAAAATATTATATGTTATATATGCATGTTATTTATTTATTCATTTATAATCTTAAATACAGCAATATAAATATGATATACAATCTTATAGGGACTTGTAAATTTTATAAATAATTTAAAAATTCCAAATCGTGCATGAAAAAATTGAATATATATAGGTGTATTCACATCATTAACACCGGGAGGAGGGAGGACAAGGAGACGGGTAAACATAGCCGCGTCGTCAAGGGACGACAAAACGGCACAACGTTCGTATGATGGTGACAAGGGGTGGTACACATTTTACAATATCGACACCAATAATCTGATAGAAATATTTTTTTTGAGAAAGAACATTTACTTTGCTCCAAAGTTAGTTCTTTTTTAAATTCATTAAATTTAATTTTCTTTTAAACATATAACAGTTCTAATTTACCTATTTTAATCTTTCTTTTTTTGTTTTAATATTACCCGGATACCCGAACTTGCAAATATATTATTCATATTATTAAAGATCCAAACCAAAAAGTTTAATAATGAAAATAAAAGAACATTGATAGACAGAGATTAAATCGACACTTAGATGTACGTAGATGTTCCGAAGAATTGTCCAAAATTTTGATCTAATCGACTGGTGACTTATTCAAAAGTTGGCACATGAAACACAAAGGTTATTTTATTATGCTGAACGGATTATGGAAGATATTAGATATAGACAAATATTTCATTATTCAAACACCCATAAATACTGATAAATATAGATATACTTATATAAGTTTGATACTTATAATTGATGAACGGTTACACTCGTTCCTCACCGACATCCTTAAATCGCTACTTAATAAACATACAGTTTTAGAGATATGGAATATAATCATTAGTTGTCCTTTTACGACTTCATCATTAGTTCATTCTTTTATTTATTTAAATAACATCAGTCCCCAGTTAAAAAAATTACGTTCTCGCAAAAGCCCTATTAACAAGGCACAACAAAAATTGGTCAATCGCCTCTACTCGTTCTTGTTCACATCTCCCAAATGCATATATATATATAAATATATAAATTCCTTAAAACTCGTATCCTCGACGAAGAAACGAATGAAATTCAAATGGAATTATTGCAGTTTTATTTTGATTTTAATTATTTTCTTTTTTCTATAAGTCGTATTACTTTTGTTTAAAGTTTTCTCATCGCTAGTCTAGATGAAGAAAATCAACACTATTTATTGATGGACCCAATATTTCACTCAGCGCGAAATTATTATTATTTATATCTTTTACCCATTTAATCAATCAAAAACAAATTATTTTTACGATGATTCTGCTCTACCTTTTGTAAAATTACCTTATTCATAGATCGGAAAACGATATGTCGACTTGTATGATTCTGCTCGTTTGCGTTTGAAATTAGTAAGAGTCGGATGTTAAAATGAACGAAAAAGATAAGTGAAAATCCTTAATTATTCTTCTCTTTTTTTTTTGTTGATGTATATACAAAACAATAGTGATAATAATACAGAAATAAATGTAAAAAAATATATATATAACGTATACGCGTAATTATAAAAAGTTTAGTTCAATATCACACATAATAATTAAATATAATATTAATAATATAACAATAAATATGACATGGAAACAAAATCACAATATTATAATATTTATATATATAGGTATAAAAAAAACTTGTACTTCATAGCTCCGCTCATTGTGGAAATTTTCTTCCAGCAAAAACGCATCCGGAAACACTAAAAGAGTATATATGTATATTATATAAATTCCTTACAATTCAGCTTGTATAAAAAAGATAATTATAATGATCTAACAGCTATAGAATAGTAATTATTCTATGCGTTTTTTTTTTGTGTTAGAAAATTTTGATGTTGCTGTTACCATACATTTGTAATCATTTATAATCAGAGTGGGTGGGAATGAAATATTCAAATGCATTATAAAAAAACAAATGCACGCGTTTATAGGACGTGGAGGTTCTCGCAGGATTTGGACTTGCTGTCCCTGGCCCAGACCTTCCCAAGGAGACTCTTGACTTTGAGACTGGCCGATGTGCGCGATCCTCGGTACTTCTTCGGCGAATTTTGTGCGCTGCCGGCGGTCGGTGTTGCCGAACCCGAGGAGGCCGTCTTTCTGTTCCTCTTCGAAGAGCTGCGCTTCCGGAACAGGTCGCGCGACCTCTCGGGATTCTCCAGCTTCAGTCGGATCTGCGTCAAGATACCGACGAGCAGCTCGTCCACGTTATGGTTGATGCCGACAGATGTCTCTATGTATTTGCAGTCGTAAGACGTTGCCATTGATTTTCCCTCTGCAACAATATTAAAGTCGTAAATCATGAGTTAAAAGTCGCCGTCATAGCAGAAAGACACGCATCCGCAAACTGTGCTATCCTACATATACGTCGTGCAACACAAATAATTTATCATACGAAAAGCATACAGACACACCCTTCATTAAGACTATAAATAATAAATAACTATTTTTTAGATAATCCTCAATAATGATTATGAAAATAAATAATCTAACATCAATATTTAAAGTGAAAACTAAAGTTTTAATTAAAGTTTATACAAATCAAATGTATATCATTCCAGATTTGAGTTGTTAGATAATGCTATATTTTAATAATTACTATTGGTACTATAAATATATCTTAAGATATGATTTTTTCTTTAATATTCAGTACATGCGTGTTTTGATGGTAATTTATAGTGGATGCGCAGGGTTATCAAACTTAGTTTTACATAATGGTCACCGCATAACGTCTACGTATTTGCATATTTATAAATACAACAGCTAGCGGTTAAGATAAGCACAACAAAATCTTGTCAGCGAAATATTTATATCAATAGTGCAAATCTTAATAATGGATGGTTTCAAGTTTTGTTAAATGTACGCGTTTTCATTGTGACGTGTAGGGAAATGTATCAAAGTTGGTCGCTGTTTGTGTTGATAGCTGTCAGTCAGATCGAAAATGAATAAAATCGTTTGGGTTTCGGTGGTAAATTCCAAGTAGTTTCAGGATGGGGTCTTGTCCAAAATCAAACTCGTGCGAGAGTAGCTGTGAGGGTAAGAAGAAGAAGCGCCGAAGGAAGAAGAAGAGTTGCGGAGGCTGCAAAGCCGGAAAGGTGACGCCCAACCCCTTCTTCAATTATCTGCGGGTATTGCGCCGAAAGCATTGCGATTGGTCAGCTGTGAAAGTGGCGGTACAGGGCGCAAGAAGATGGTGCTCCATGTCCAGCAGGGAGAAGGACAAGTACAGGCAGATGGCATGCAGCGCACCAAAGTACAAGAGCAAGAGCTGCAAGAAGTCCAGAAGCCGGAGCAAATGTAAGTCAAAGAGTCGAAGCGAGTCCAAGTGCGACGAAGGAGAGGCCAAAGTGATGGACATGATCAAACGGTTAAGAGAGATCAGTGGTGACTCTAGAAGCTGTGACAAAAAACGAAGGAAGAAGAGCTGTTCGAGGAGAAAGAGTAAGAAGAGCAGTTGTTCCCGCAAGAGGAAACGCAGTTGCAGCTCCGGTTGCGGCGGAGAGGAAGCTGAAGAGGAGGACGAGGACGAGGAAGAATCAAAGTGCGGAAAACGCAAGAAGAGGAAATCGTGTGGTAGGAGGAGCAGAAAGAAGAGCAAGTGCGGATCGAGAGGAAAGAGCAAAACTGAAAAGCGTTTGCTGAACATGATCAAGATGCTAAGGAAGATGCGAAAGAAGCGGAAGAGCTGTGCAAAGAAAGTGAAGAAAGCCCGAAGCTGTTCGAGTAAACCAAAGAAGTGCAAGAAAAGCAGGAGATCCAGTTGTTCGAAGAAGAAGAAAAGCAAGAAGTTTTCAGGGAAATCGAATCACAATAGCACCGAGGCCAAAATTATGGGTATGATCAAGCGGATTCGGCAAATCACCGGGAAAAGTAAATGTAAGAAAGGCTAAGCAGCCACGTGAAAATTGTAATTTTACTTGTGAATTATAGTCTTGAAAATCGTCAATAAAGGAATTTACATATTTTGTTATATTTCTTTAACAAATTAATATAATACTAGGAAAGATATTTTTTAAATATTTGGACATTTCTTCACAAAGACAGAAAAGTTAAACTAAATGTATTAAAACGAAGGCAGTTGGAAATTCACCTTTGAAATTCCACTTCGAAGATTTATGTAAATTATTATTTTAGTTAATTAATGTAAACCAATGTAATTTATTTTAAACAAACTAGTAGTGAAAACCGCCAATTAGTTAATTATAATTACTATTTCTTCACTAAGCGAGAAAAGTTAAACTAAATGAATTCAAACGAAGACTATTGAAAATTCACCTTTGAAATTCCACTTCCAAGATTTCTCTAATTTATGATATTTCAAAGGTTCATTAATTAATAAACTTCGCATAAAATATCAACAAATATTTGCTAGCAGTAAAAGAAAGTAACGAGACGTACTTTACTCTTAATAAGAAACTTTTACATTAAATCCCAAATTCAGCAAACACTCGTAAACTGCACGACTGTCCCATTTTGTATATACACTTTACTGCAAATACAGATGGATGATAATAAAAATACATTGTATGTAGAATAGCACTTAAACGCTACAGTGTATAATTTTATGGATGATCCCTTTTAAAAAAATCACTGCATCACTGTAGTTTTTAATTAGGATAAATTTCGATGCGCTAAAAACGAAGCTAGCATTGAAATAACAAAGGTCAGTGGAGTCATTTCCTTTTTTTTATATTTTTCTCACAGTCTTGCCGGAACAAGGATGTTCGCCTATTTAGTGATGCACCAATAACTTCGCACTTTGACGCGACTAAATGCGGATGTTCCATTATGTTGTACGAACTTTTTTTTTCTTTATAAAATTCACACGTTTCGATGGAATAAAATTGTGATCCTTTGATGCAGATTTTCATAAAACGACAATAAAATGAATAGCGTTCAATATTCGATTACCTCATGTTACAGCATATTATATTTAGCGTGTGCTCAAAGCGTACTTATGAGATTAGAGGAGTGATGTAATATGATTATGCATCAAAGTTGAATATTCGAAATTTCTCATGAAGAAGTTTCGATCTTAGTAAGGGATAATTGATGAAAAGTGGAATGATCCTAAACTAGCATAACGTAAATCATCTTGTTGCAACCGTATAGTTGTTTTCGTCTGAAACAGATAACTGCTTCGGTCAGGATCCTGCGAAATCCAATCGCAAACTTTCTAATACTTTATGAGTACATAAACTAATAAAAGTTTTCCGTAACCTACGTACATAATAAAACCATCTTAAAATTCAACAGTAATCTCATTTGGGTCTCAATTTTAAAAGAAACTTCCGTGATACCTCTTATCTATATTAATATTGGCAAATAGAAATAAACTATAAGTTTTTATTTTCACGTTGACAGTGACAGTGCGCGGTTGAACATTTGGCAGATTAAAAAGCGCATTTTATCCGAAAGCATGTGGAAATCCATGAATTATTTCCCAAGAAAAGTATTACTTTTCCCGGAACTAATGTAATTTAAGTTCGGTCACGGCTGCCAGGATCTAGAGGTGCATTTAAAGAAAATACGAAATGAATAAGAGAAGTAAAATAAAAACGTAAACTGAAGTTTAATTAAAGGTTTGATTGAAAGGTTCAATTAGTTTCCTTTTTATCGCTCTATTGAACGTTCAAGTTACCTTCAGTGGAGACGACCCTCGATCTCACCAGATCCGCCTTGTTGGCCACGAGGATGACTGCCTTTGTGCTGATGGTGTCCAAAGTCCATAGTGTCTGCAGGATGTTTTCAGCGCATTCCATGCTGGATCTATCTGCGCTGGAATAGACCACACAGAAAGCGTGCGGCTCGCTGTATTTTCTTATGCAAGACTCCGGCTGAAACAATAATTATATCTCATAAATTCCTCTTTTCTAACAAACAATTAGAAGCTTCGATGATTTCAGTTCAAAAACTTTTTAACACAAGAAAATCGCTTATTTTGCGTAACTTTTGCTTTGACCACTAAACGCTTGGAATTAGTTCAGATTCGTTTAGCAGACAAATGCACCAAAAAAAAAAGAAATAATTAGAAGCAATTTCATCAATCTAATGAACGTGTATAGTTAGTGCTTCTGATACGGCCAATTAAAGCTCTGAATTTAATTGTTTCCGGGTTGGTTGTGTAACGGTAAGCGGGTGGATCAAAAGGAAAGCGTGCGATTAAGTTGCATTACGCGGAGGCAATCGAAAGTGAAATCCCTATCCTTCTTTTTCTCTCTCTCTCTATTTTCTGAAAAGCAATTACTCGCCGGTTAGTTCGTACTATCCCGATACTTTGGCATCTTTACCACTCGTAATATCGTGAGGATTGATGGTCGAAGAACACGATTTTGCGTGCCGGTGGAAAACTTTTTGTTTGCACGCGGAATTTTCAGAATTTTGCATGTCGGAAGGCGAAATACAAACACCTCACTGACAATATATGAATGGCGTCTGTGGGGACGTCATTTACCTTTCCGTGAGCCATTTACGACATGCTTACCAGGTGTATTATAATTCCGACATTTGAATCACAAATTGCCGTTTATTTGATGATATCTTATGATCCGTTCCAAACAACCACGACACAGTTTTATTTTTCTTCTAAAAAAACCTTTCCATATTTAATACATTCTTGAAACATTATTTAACGTATTATAGTACAATTTTATGGAATGAATGATATTTTTTCTTTTGAAATTAAATAAAAATACACCAATTAGTGATAATTTTTGAGTTGATAAATTCTACAAATTCTTCCAAAAATGGAAACAATTTTAAATTGTATTTGATTTGGTTACATCAGTGGTAGTCAACCTTTTCATACCTACCGCCAACTTTGTTGGTAGTCAAATTTTCTAATTGCCCACAAGTTCCGCTGTAAACATGAGGATCAGGTTAACCCTTTCCAGCCCAGTGATTACAATTTGAATCATTCATTCAAAATTATTTTTTTGTTTTTTGACGGTTAAATCTGTTGGCAGCAACTAATGTGAACTGATGCTTGATATGCATAAAAGTCGTATTAGATAGCAGAAAACAATTGCATTTACAGGCGTGTTGTCGCATAACTTATACTGGTTTACATCATCAGTTTACTCGGAACTGAAACCATCAATATGATGGAAAGATATTTTGCTTGAAATAGCCCAAAGAGGAAGGTATATCTTACAAATGTAGAATGAGAGGATTGATTGGAATATGAAAATAACCATAGATCTAAATAAATTGTTGATATTTTTAGATAAACTTAAGTAAATGTATTTTTATCTTGAATAGAATTGGTGACTAAATTGATCATATAAGCCAATTTAATTGTATTATAATGATTTAAAACTTAGTAAAATATTCATTATTGATACTTTAAATTTGAAAGTAGTAAAAAAACTTCGAACGATGATTGAGGAATTAATTTTATATTTGTTAAAGCAATTGGAGTAAATTCGAGTTTTTGAGATGTTCATAACTATGACATGCAACCAGTCCATGAATTTCATTAAGATCCTATATCAATTATATTCTGCCAAGTATGTCCCCTATCCCATATGCGTTAATATAATTACATGCAGATCTGCATATGCTCCAAATGACCTAAACTATGTGCCTTTGCGAATATCCGAGTTAATCGATTAAATTAGTTTTTTTTTTATAAATTACAATTATTTTGAATTGAACATAATTTCTGCATTTCTCTTAATACGATTAATGAAATAATGTAGAATATAAATCGTAATTGGAATTATGTTTACAATATTGTTCGTTCAAATTAACAAATGCACATAATTTATGTGTACATTATTGTTTGTTGGTGATGTTCAAATTCACGAATACAAATGCGCATAAAATTATATCATTTTTATTTCGTCCCTTCATTTTTCATTGAATTATTTGATGCAATCGCATTGGAAAAAATCATGGAAAATTTTTTGCTGAACGAACGTGTCAGAGGGTGGATTTCCGCGATGAATAAAATAGAGCGCGTGCATGGGTGGATTAGATTATCGATTGAGAACAGGTATTTACAGTAATTTCCAAAGCTATGAATTTGGATTGTAATAGGAGAAAAATATTGTATAGATTCTTACCGATAACTCCGCCGTTGTGAAATCTATAAACACCAGTTCGGATTCCTCCCCAGCCAGCAGCACGGAAACAGACTTTTCTCCGCTCTCATCATCTGGAATGAAACAAAAAGAAAAGTCGAACGATTGAATAAACATATATATGCATATACTATAAAAATCTTTATTTCGGCATACAACATTTTTGTACTGGGGGAAACTTTTTTTCGTTTGTTTTTTTTTTTCTACAAACGATGCGGAAAATTTTCTGCAGCGAGAGGAAACCGTTTATTAATCATGCGTTAAAGCTACGACTGAGAACTTTAGAGAAGAGGGAAAGTCGATGGTATTGTTGCGAGGAATCGTTTGGAAAATTGAGATTTTCCATTGGTTTAATAAAAGTGTTAAATATTAGTGTTAGATGTTAATTAATGTTTTATACTACTCCCTTGTTTATTTATTACAATTAACAATATTTTTAGAACATAATACATCAATATCTCATATAGTGCGGTCCAAATGAATTATAGTCCTGTTAAAATATTTCAAATTTTAATAAATTCTCAAGAGTTTGTTTCTTTGACTTGACATACAAGTCTCTCTTTATTCAGTTTATTTGAGTGTTCCGGTAACGAATTAATCTTATATAATGTTACAAACATATTTCTTTTTTATTTCAACAAAATATGTGAATTGGTTAAATAATAATCAGATAAAATATATAAATAAATTAATTATTTGCAAATATTTTTATACTTGTAATAACATATTTGTGTGATTGAGACTGTAATTATGAAATCAAGGTTGTCGTATATTAAGGAAATAAGACAATTTATAAGTATGGTTGGTCATTAAGTCGATAAATCAAATAAAAATATGGTGAGTGACATCAGTGTAATCCGCACGCGAAAATTCGATTAGTTGGAATTCGTGATCAGAATTGCAATGAAATAGGTTCATGTAATATTAGGAAATTAGAGTATATTTTGTGTTTTTATGTTGTAATCTCTCTGAAAACTCAACATTAATATTATTTGAGTTACGTATTTTTATAATACCGGTTTTATATCTACGTAATTTTACAAAAGCGTGCAGTAACAAAAGCGCGCATTAAAACAAGCATGTGAAATGCACGAGAATTTGTATGTATTTCTAAAATACACCCAAAATTCCCCGAACCTACACAACTAGATCAGTGTTTCCCAACGAGGGACCCACAGGGAGCAATGTGATTGTTACGGAAGGAAATTAGAAAATTTACACCTCTAGGGGACATAAGAATTTTAGAAAGGTTTTCGTGATTGGGAACCACTACACTAGAGTGAATGTTGTGCGTATATTTGTTGCTTTTGTCCTGGGGGTCACCATTATTTTTATTATATTTATATCATGATTAGAGCAAATTTTTCATATTTGTATTTCTCGGGAACTATTTTTACAAATTTTATATTTGGTTCATTTAAAAATTTGTCCATTTGAACACTGGTAGTTTGTGAATTGGACTATATCACCCAAGGTATAATACTATCTATGATTGGCGGAAATGCGTATGGAAATTCAACGTCTGCTATTGATGACTTATCGATAATACAGAATGTCAAATGTTGACCAATTGACATCAAAGATAAATCAACGACAGGTGCTTGAATCCGGTAATAATTACAGTATTCCGACGAATGAAAAAGTGAGCTCAAAAGTATGAATATTATTGGAATATGCAGTATGGACGAATGGTTTTTATTTGCAAAGTTTGATTACACGTTTCGTGAGAATCAGTTTGGTATTAGATTTTGCGCATATTTCTATTGAGAATTTCCTAGCTGACCGGCGGAGCGTATTGATGCGGTTATATTGTTTTTCCCCCTATTTCGGCGACATCGCATCCCCCTTTTCGGATAGGGAAGCTTTATCTCTTTCAGTCCCGTTCGGTTCGGTCGCGTGCGTCCTACCGAAACCGAAGTTTTCCTCTGAAACCGCGACCGCTTCGATCCAATATAAGCCAACTAAATTAAAATTAACGTCAGACTTAATCGAATCGCTGATTGCACAAACTTCAACTGATATTCGCAGTATAATAAAAAATAAATTATAACAATCTGTATTTCTATAATTACTATAAAAAAAAATACTTTTGATATACACATTTACTATAAAATTACGAATCTAAATTTAATTATTAATTTTAAACTATTTTAATAGCACTATAAAAATGAAAATATTCGGCGCATGCGGTACGAAATGAGTAAAAATATTGATCTACCTGATGTTATTAAAAATGTATATATTTTTTTTTTATTATGATCCATTTTGTGCGAGCCATTATATCACTCCAACGCTTCCACTAATAACGCATCGAATTTAACTTCAATAAATAAACATTTTGCTTTTATAGCTACATTTCGTTTACTTATTTTATGTTACAAAAACAAATTCAATTTGACGTCAATATCACATACAAAATATATGATTTTATGTAATTTGGATAATTATCAAAGCTCATTTATAGTTTATTTAATTTATGTAACAAAAACAAATGTAATTTTACATCAGAATCATACAGAAATTATATGATTTGGAGTATTATTATAGCTACATTTCATTTACTTAATTTATTTTATGTCAGGCTTTTGAAGATTTTTTTTCAGGATGTACCCAAATGAAACAAGTGATGTCTTTATTATATCATAAAGTGCACCAGGTCTGATGGGAATAATCAGGTTTGAATAATGAATTATTCATTGATCCTGACTTTGTACCTTAAGATTACCCTTTATTTTGAAGTTTGAAAAACTCTTGTAAATTGTAAAAATTTCACTATTTTTTTGCTGATAAGGACCAGAAGTTCTATGAGCATGGAATCAAGAAAAATGACAAAAGATCATCGAACAAAATAGAAAATATATAATTGACTAAAGTTCATTATTTGTCGATTTATTTCACTGAAATTACTTTCCTTTAGTACCCAATATATTGTATAATAATTTCGTATTTATAGTGCTTAAGATATTCAGTTTAATACAGCTTAATCTGAAGATGTTAAATTGACACGAACATTGAATTGAATAACTATGTTCACATAAGTCAAGAAAATTATTTAATTTGAGGAAAATGTATTTAAACAAAATATGTTTGGAGATCTTTCATTCTTTCAAGTTTGAAAAATTCTCTATACAGATTTAACTTTAGTTTAAAATATGTTAACTAGTCTTTGCCATAAAAAGTATGTTATTTCAGTTTCTCAATTCTATTAAATTAACCATTATTTGTGTTGTTGTAAAGGTCAAACTCTATGTACTAAGCTATATCAATATTCATATTTCAATGTTTGTGTTATGTCTATGCCCAGTACGCACGGTTAAATAAACGATGAGAGCAAATCCGGTGGATGCGCCGGGTAAACGACCAGATCGATGCTTTGGCTGTCGTTTTATTTTATAATTAATACAGTTTAAGTCGCAACCACAACCATAAATCAGACGTCGTTTTCCATGAATAAATTGATGATTATGTAAAAGCGTTTCACGAGTTATTTTATTTTGGAGATCGTGGTGTCCAGACGCGTATGAAACCCAGCAGAATAGTTAATGTGAAAATGCAGAATCAGAAAAAAATAAGGATGTTTCTATTGCAAAAATGAATGAAAATACGCAGCGTCTTTAATAATAAATATGTGGGTCTTCCCAGCAGAATAGTTAATTCCCAAAGATCAGCCCCACGACCCGAGAATACGCTGTATTATTTGCATTCAAGTAAAATCTTTCGTCTCAAAGATATATATCAAATTTCGTATCAAAGAAATATATTCAAATATACATTAGTTGTTGAATCAATATTTTTTTTAATTGTTCCAAAACAAGTGTCCGATTAATGTTTTATTGGAATAATGAAATTAAATGTGTCAGTTATTTAAATTAAGCATGGAAAAAGTGACTCTAATAGACGCCTGAATGAAAAAAATTCTTGTAGTGAACGGTAACATTTTGTAACAATTGTTACTTTGTCGTCATTGCAAAAACTACCCAAAAAGTTTATATTCGAACAATTACAGAGAAATTAGTTCTAGCGATAAAATAAAAATGGTCTAAAAATGGTAGTAGAACCATGTCAATCAAAATCTCGATTTGAGTTTCTTTAACGCCATTCAATCATTACCACACCAAGAGTCCTCGTCCAGATATGATATAACCGCAGAAAGAACTAGTCAATGTTTTCATTATTTTGCTTAAGTGTATGGATTTGACCATGTTTCATAAAGAGGGCAACGATTACAAGCTTCCTCACATGAGCAAGAACAAACTGCAGCGTTTGTAGGGAACATTGTTAGGAATTTGACAGTTTCTTGTTACTAATTTTTTAAATGTTACACATTAATATTCGTTCAAAAAAAATCCTCTTAGTTGGTATTCACTGAATGTTCTTTCAAGTTTATTAAATTGAATAATTGTGTAACGAAACGTTGAGAGAATCCGCGATAAATTAGGTATGAAATCGCACGTCGTGTGACAACAGAGTGTGCAAAATTTAAAGGGGTCGGTTAGGCATCGCATCGATTTCGATTGTCTGCAAAGGGCGAGGAACTTTTCAGGGGGGGACGGCGGCAGGTGACTACCGTCCGTCCCCTCCCACAAACATCAACCGCACACTGAAATTTACGTGTTAAAAAGGGAATTTAATTATCGACCACACACGAACGTCCATACGCCCGAACCTCAACCCTCCAAGATATATTTAACCCTTTGAAACGTAACGCTCGTCAGATGAATTAATTGAATAAATAAAAAGTTTACCTGTAAACTAGTCAAAAAAAAAATGTATCCTAAGTTTGTTCTTCTGTACGAATTATTTCGTATACGTAACAATGTTATTTTTGGAGAATAGTTTCCGAATTTTGATCACTGGTCAGTGTCCAAAAGTAACAAAGTATTTAATTACATACTTGTAATTTACATTTTAATAACTACAACCTGTTAAATTGTAATAAAAAAACATAAATCAATTGAAACAAGTTCGTAAAAAATCATAGCAAGCTAAAGTGACAAAAATTATATTGTTTGTTTTCTTTCTCTCAAGCATAACTTGATTTTTTTTTAAATTTTATATAAAGAAACTAAGGAAAAAAAGTATGTAATGTACAAATTATACTTAATAAAATTAATTGATCTTGGAGAACTCAGTTCCTCATTATTTATTTCTACTTTTTTTTAGTATTAGTAAATGTATGTTCAAGGTGAAAATGCAGAATCAGAAAAAAAATAAGAATGTTTCTATTGCAAAAATGAATGAAAGTACGCAGCGTCTTTAATAATAAATATGTGGGTCTTCCTTCTAAAGAAACCCAACTGAGTTTAATATTGCTGGAAGTAAGAAATAAAAGTATTCCGTCTTTATTAAAAACCCTTTTCTGGGTAAATCATAATGATTTTCCTTCAGAATATGACTTGCACACGAATAATTTAATCTTATACAGAAGGTATGGATTATATATAAGAATACAAAATATGTTAGAAAAAATAGATTATTTTGTGTTTAAAAAATTACAATTCGATTTACTACAAAATAAGTGTCCGATTTAGGAACTTTATTAGTTCCAAAAAAAGTATCCAATTTCATAAAAATATATACAAAGGCATATTATAACTTGTATTTTCACAACTGAACTTATGATTTATTTGGTGAAAGAAGAAAATAAATTAATTTAATTCTTAATAATTCATATGCATTTCAAATTTCATTATGGAAAAAGCAAACTACTTTTGGATTACCACAAATACGTGGGGTTTAACAAAAGTTCGCTTAGTTGGTGTTAATACATTTGTTTCTCAATTTTTTAAAGTCTAACGATATTTCATGTTAAATTTCAAAAAGAATGGATAGGAGAAAATACAAGATTAATGAAATTCCACCACCAACACTGTAAAAAAAAATGTGCCTATGCAAACTTTCCAGGAATGCCAAAATGCATATGGAGTGAAATTTTGTCAAAATTTGATTATTATCTTTTCTCATTATTTTAAATTAAATCATTAAAACTAATTATATAAGTATACTTTGTAAAAAAAAACATTTATTTGATAATAATGGAAACAATACTAATTTTGATAACTGTCAAAAGAAATTAACTTTTCATACTTTTTTATTCAGTAAATAAAGTTAAATTGTTAATAATATCGTCATTAATAACTGAAATGTCAACTACTCCAAAATAATATTTAATTTAAAGCTTGTCATTTTGTATTGCTTTCAATCCATAAATTTAATGCATACTAAGTACGTTGAACGTTCAGTTTAGATTGATATATTTTTAAGGGTAAAAATATACCGACCTCGATATAATAATCGCAATAAAAAAAAAGTTCCTTAAACTCTGTTAATAAAATATATATCGCCGCGTGTCATCATTACTTATAAAATTTATTTTTAACATAAATTATTTATTACATTCAAGAAAATCCTTTATGTTTATATTTGATAGAATTTGTTGTAAATCACCATACAAAGTCCATACAAAAACTTGATATTTACAAGTCGAAGCAATCAATAATAATAATAATAAAAAAAGAGTACAATGTCTCACAAAAAGTTTGTGCCAAGCAGGAAGACACCGCAAACTCTTAAAGTTTTACGAAACCATTTGGGGATTCAATAGTTTTCCTCAACAACTCATAATGTGAGTTTGTAAATCGATTTGCGCTTCTCGAAGAGTGCAATAATTATTTCACATCACTGAAAAACCCATAAACCGCACTTTTTTCTCAGATTTCGTTTCGACAATGAACAATCCAATTACGTGACATTCTGCAGAATATCGATCCAGCTAGAGTCGATTGAAATGTCAAACGTACGCGGATCTCTGCGGCGGTGATTACGATTATGTAATCGTTTTCCGAGTGAAAACTGAATAATTTATGAATGCGAAAGATTATGCGTGAGCGAAATGCGAAAATAATTTCTTATACTCATGCATAATTTAAGGGGTTTTTGAAAACTTTTACAACTGTTTTTTATTTCGGTTTTCGTTAACTGCGGCGTACGATATTATGATACTTCAGTTTGTTTAGAGTTCTGTATATAAGTTGGAGAATTATTTATGGACTGTGAATCACAAAATTTTAAAAAAAGAACATGAAGACTTGGATAATATGTACTTTCATATTGTTGTTAAAATCTAACCCGTAAGTACTACGGATGGGTCAGAGTGACCCACCTGAAATTGGTTTTTAATTCACATTGTAATTTAATTGCAGGGATTGATCAGGGTGTCTTATTTTATTGTTGAGTGTATTTCGGGTCAAAATGACCCGTCTATAGAAAATTCGTTCTTGAAATATCGTCAATATTTTGATTTCAAAGTGGTATAACTTTCTGATATTACAAGTCATACATTTCTATAAGAAGAAAATGTGGATAAACTCGATGAAAATTGTACATTAATTTAGTAATCGGGTCATTTTGACCCATAGGTTCTACTTGTGTTATATTTATTTATCCGTAGTATTTAATTTTTTTAATTTAATAGCCTTAGTTCAATGAAATATTTTCTGGTTAGTAATAAATTATCATCGCTAGAAAACGGCTTAAAGCTTATAGATGATTACTGTAATGTCTGTAATGTGTACAAAAATGTGTGGTATATAATGAGATAAAAGCTTAATTTTCTGCATTGTCCCTTTACGTGATGGTCGCAACAATACAAAATTATTAAGATAATTTAACACATGTTGAAGCAGAAAAGAAACGTCGCGGAACAATTTAACAAACGAGTGCGAAATAGATCACATAATCAAAATAAACTACTCAAGAGCCAAGTTTTTTTTTCCAGGTGAAATCATGTTTTTGTCGATGCATTATGCAATTATAAATAAAATTCAATTTCAAATTTCATGGAATATGCAATTATTTAGATCTCGAAATCAATTCGAATTGAATTGGAAGCAATTGAACGACGCAGAGTGCCGATGAAAAGATACATATTACGATGCCTTCGGGGGAAAATATACAATTACGATGCGAAAAAAAAAATCGATCAGCCTCGCCTCTTCTTTAATGATACCAAACGTAAATCAATTACATGCATATCATTGCAGTTTCCTGTTTTGTTGTTGTTTAATTTTGAACACCGCCCTTCGCTAATTCCATCTCACATTAGCTTCGCTTCGCTTTTGTTTATATTCGTATATCGCCTTGGTTACATAACGTAATAGATTAGCAGTGGAAACGTAAACAAATCGTATTAGCTTTGGAATTGCGTAATACGTGTAAGTGCATAGCGTTAAGTTAGATTATAAAAATAACATTATTATTCAGCGCTTTCTTCGGTTCACTCGCTTATGGATTATGTAATAAGAATCAGCGTGTATTCATGTGAACTTACTCAATCACATGCAAATATAATTTCCGACGCCTTTACATAAATCCGAACCTAATCGCAGTTTGTGCCAAAAGGAGTTTAAATACGCAACTTTCAATATGGATTTTCAGTCTCGAGCTTTCAAATCTTAACTTGTATTCACTTCACTTCTATGAATCTTTATTGCATTCATAGTTTCACCCTTTGTCGTCTGACGGTACTTATAAGTACCGGCACATTTATGTCACTATTTAAATTATATAAAGACGTGAAAAAGACCTAAATACTTGTTGGTACTTTAATGTAATCTTTATATCGAATATAAAAATGATTTGTTTTGCAACTTACATTCAAGTAATGCTTGTCACTTCTGTATAGATTATTTTTTTATTTTTTAATCTAATCACTTATTATATAATTGAAGTTTAAAATTGCATGACTTTACCAAAAAGTATCAAAAAAAAAAAATTCATTAGAAATATTGCTGAAATTTAATAAAAATGTATAGGAAACTTAATCTTAATGTGTTTTCAAAGAATTTTTGTATTTGCTATGTTCAAGTAACAAAGGCTTAACTATATCAGTTTCTTTTTTTTAATTATCCAAGAGAATATGTATTATCATTAGTTCAAATTAATAGGAACAATAAGATATGATGCTAATATAAGCAAGGTAGATGACATCTGAATAGGCGAAGCATTAATCTCAAGAACAATAGGAAGAGCATCAACAGACGGAACTAGGCTTAATCCAAGTTGTTATGAAACTTACAGTAGATTTGTAGTCTTGATATAATACTATTTTGTAATTGGTCTATTGTAAGCCTTTTGTATTACGTATGCAATAAATGTCACTACTACTTTTAGGTGCATATTTTATCTTTAAAAAGTCATTAAAATAAAATTAAATAAAATATTAATTGATAGTTTCAACTAAGCTTCGTTTTCATATTATAAAATACTTGTGATAATTTGGAAAAACAGATTGTTTGAAAATAACTAACATTTTACAGAATATATGCTTGGAATTGTTAAGAAAGTTTTAATGCAATGTAAATAAATAATTTTAAAAATTGCTGAAAAAAGTTGAAACTCGTTGTATTAGCGAATAATGTAAAAAGTTTCGCGTAGAATTCAATTTTTAACAGTGTAAATATTAATGTAATAATGATATAATATGCTTATTCATAAATATTTGCTAAAGTTTTTAAAGTAATTAAATGGAAGATTGTTGAAAACGCAATATTGCAGGTAAATATTTGCGAGAAATGCGAAAGGAATTCCAATCTGAAACAAATTTTGCAACATTTTCCAATTATGTTGAAGGCGGAATAGAAGAGACGCTCGATATAGAACGCTTTCCGCGGATGTCGATCGAAGCTAATGTAGCTTGCACACTGAAAACTGTGCACTTAATGTAATATTACTATTGTCAAATAGGGGGTGTTTGGGTGGTTTTCAAATCAAAGGTAATTTAGAGACCCATGCGTATATGTGAGAAGAAAAAGGGTATTTAGACTACTGAAGAGAGAGATAATTTTTTTTGTTGGGGTATGTTTTCATACCTCCCTCATAGGCGATCGGTAATAGATGATGCATATTATGTATCGGACTCGATCCGGGAACGCCTTGCGATGGACTGTGCATTTCTATAACGGTAATCAATTAACAATAAAATATTTCAACATGATTTCATCAGAATCTATCAACTAGCGTGCAAAGTTTACTATGTATCAAAACTATCGAATAAAACAATAGAGACACAAAGGTTAATACGGTTTTCGGTACTACTTCTATAAATACTCTAAGTACTCAAATGAACGTAACTATACAATAAAGGTTAACGATTCATGATTAAGAAGTAAATTATGACGAGGGTTTCTTTAACATTTTCCTACTGGAAGAATCGATTCGAAAATCCCATTTTTTTTTTATCGTACATTTTGTACGAAATATTTTTAGTGGTATATTAAAAATAGCGCAATTGTAAATTATGTTCTTTTGTATTATTATAAAATGTGTGGGAATATAAAAAAAAAAACTGAATAGGTGGCGGGGCGTGTGTCACGCAAGCGAGGTATCATTTAACAAAGGAAATACATAAATTAATGTGTTCACAGTAAATTATGGCGTAACGCCAGATCGTGTTCAAGTTGCCGTATATTGCATAATAATATGAATGTAAACCGCATAGAAAATTTTAAAATTAGATTGTTTCAACGGTTAAATTAATGTAATTTCTGAAATATTTCAGTGCGGATGGATTTGCATTCATCTTCCGCTTTATTTGATAGATTTTCATTAATTATTCCTCACCTAAATCAAATTGAATATAAAATAATACAAGTAATCTAGAGAATTCGTAGTCGTACAGAATAATTCGCTAAGCTTCAGAATGTATAGGTATTATTTGGTATTCTATAGAATACCCAGTGAATGTGTAATTCTGTATTCTACAGAATCTGTTAGCATATTCACATGATCTCCCTTTCGTCAGGGTTTTGGTCTATTTAAGATACGTCTTGTGATCTCTGCTGATTGGTTGTTCTTCCCATTTTGATATTGTGCCCTAGATATATGTATTCATCAACTCTTTCGACTCCTATGGTCTTCATTTCATTAGAGCCTTGCTCCATTTAAGATACGTCTGGTAAAAATCGAATTTCTAGGTAAGCCGGTTGGTGATAATGATGGTCAACAGCTTGTAGAATATGGAAAATTCTCTATATTCGCACTATCGCGGTCCAGGATTTCACCTTATACAAGACACTTGTTCAATAATGCACAGTAATAGTATATATTTAAGTATTTTATGCAATGCCTAGTTATAGTGAATAATTCTCTATCTCTTCTATAAAATCATTGATTTTGCGTACTTTTCCAAATTTCGCGAGGTATTAAACGTAATATCTAGGTATTATTTAGAATAACGTCGAAACACAAAAATTGTTTGATTGAAAATAATTGAATAGAATTGGATTCAAATCTTTCAGTTTGAAACCTCCACACAATCAATGGTATACAAAAGGGTTTAAATATCGTTTAGGTATGTAAATCGGTTCGTTCACTCCTCTTTTTTTTTTCTCCTCCTTCAACGAACACACGGAATAAATGTACATGAATTAATTCCTGAAACGACAGAGCCGCCGTTTAATTAAGGTACGGAAATTTTATTAGAATATTACATGAAAATGTAGGACGAAATTCCTAATTGAAATTCTCAATATAAATTTATTAATAATTGATTGAAAACGTATTTTTTTTTTGTTAAAAGATTAATACGTTTATTGATTCTCTTGGTTAGTTGAAAATTGATAGTCTTTTGCAATTTATGAAACTGAACTTAGCGAAAAACGTTTTTCATATAAAATCCATCTTGCGTGCGCGCCTTTATCAATCTATATTTTACATAACTTTTATCATAAATTACTTTTCTCGAAGAAAATTTCTGAAATTTTGTCGAGTACAAAAAATACAGCAAATTTATCATTATTAACTGTGTTAAAATTATAAAAAATCTTATGGAAATTGTTTATTTTTTAAATATATTCGTAATTAATCTATATAAAAGTTAATTAATAAACACGAAAGTTGCAAATATTTTGTTTCAATAAAAAATGTTATAATTAATTATTTTCAAGAGTTTTCATTACAATTGCAATAATTTTAATTAAAAGTAATTTTAACATGGAAAATCCCGAAAATATGGCAAGCTTTATTTATATTTATTAAAAAATAATGAAAATTGCTTGAATTAAAATGTTATATTTCCTTATTTCAAATATTTTTGTTTTAAATTCAATTAATTTTAGCATTACAAGGCCATGAAATATGCCAATTTATTTGATTTGTTTTAAATTGTTTATTTTCTTTTTTTATAGTAAATGCAACACAATTGTTTCAATAAAAGTGTTATAATTGATTATTATATATCCTTGTAAATACAATTAATTTAATTAATTAAAAAATATAACAATTTGTACTTATTTAATGTGTTGTAAATCCCTAAATTATAGTAGTTTTTATTTATTAAAAGTATTACATAAAGGAATAAAAATATTAATTAAAAAATAGTCTGTTTCTAAATAGATATAAATGTATGAATGAATCGGAAAGAATCATATGAACTATGTATAATTATTAAGGGAGAAAAAATACGAAAGAAAAATAAGTTGGATAATATCCGTGCAATGCATTATTCATTATTTAATGAAGCGTATAAATGCGGGCCGCGTGGCACGTGATTATTATGCAATAATATTATTTAATAACGGTCGTAAATTTAGCCACTTCTGGGTTTTCCGACGTCGACGTTTAAAAAATGTACCCACACATTTTTCCGGCTAATTTTACACAGCGTGAACGACGCCGTCTCGCGTGCATTTGTACTATTAACTCTGACAGACATTTACAGAAATATGTACGAATTATGAAAAATTGGTATGTTTTTCTTTTCTCCAAAACGGTTAACATCCATTTACATCCAAACAGATATACAGTGGATCCTCGCTTAACGAGCATTTCGCTTAACCAGCAAAATTAAATATAAGTACACAATGTGTACTTCACTATACGAGTAAAAATCCGGAAATTTTGGAATATTTGTATAGTTATAAATATTATAATTGTATGTTTAAATATTCTATAAATATTTCAATTTAAATAATTACTTTTCAAAAACAATTATTCTTTTATCAATATGTTACATTTCAATTTCATGTATTTGTACCATATTTGTGTAACGCAACAAGCTTAAGTAAAAACAATATTTATTTATTTCCACCCAAAAAAAATAATAATTTAATAGACTAAGAGGAAACTTATATAGACAACTTTTGAATAATACTGTCAAACATTGCAATAACCCAGGGATGAGAACTCTTTCGTGCGACCCGTCAAAGCTTTACTTTATGATTTGTTAAGTTACAAAAAAAGTGTATCCAATACTGAGACGCATCCTAATGGTTTCAGTCCATAAGAATGCGCATGCGCGTATTGTTTTATTTACTTTTGGGAACGGTGATGGCGATTACTATTTTTGACTCCATTGTTTCAGAAACTTTTGTGATCTGTGTATGTTGTATTTTTGAAATTATCCCAGAGCAACAACAAAATAACAATAAATTACATTTCTTTTTGGTTTGCTTGTATTGATTTTGGTTTTATTTTGGAAATACATCTCAATAATTTATAGATGTAATTATTGTCCTTATGCATTCTAGAGCCCTAGGTCCGAAAAATGTTAGGTTAGGTGAAGTTGTCTTAAGGTTTTATGTTTAAAAATACAAATAAACAATTTGGTTATATGGGTATTTTCAGATCCACTCTAGTGTCATCTGTTTGAGAAATCTTAAAATATTCACGGATTCAATTCTACGCATTTGTACTTCATGGATTCAAAACCTGAAATGCAAAATTTCTACAACGCAATGTATAAAAAAAGGCCATTAAATTACAAGATACGAGAACAGTCCCAGAAGTACCTGGCCTCGTCGAATAAATGGCGATTTTTGTTTGAAAAAAAAAACTACTATGGTCAAAAGTATCAACCTTATAAATCTTAAGATTGAAGAAGCTACGTTGTATAGTATTTGACAGATATCAATAGTGAATTTGTAAGCTTTAGTCTTTGTCTTCCTTTAGTGTGAACGTAAAAATAATGCAATATAGTTTATAAACTCGAAATACATTGCTGAAAATCATATTTGCATGTGCTTCACATTTTCCCTCTTCTCTCTCTCTCGTTGCATATCGAATATTGGAAATTAATTTCAATTTATCTGAAAACGCGACGCGTCTCCGAATAATTCAATATTCGAGCCTTTCATAATTCAATCGATCACATATTTGTTTACTATAATAATTACATTAACTGGATTTGAAAATAATACATTTTTGTGGAAACATTGTTTCCCCCATTTAAAATTTGTCTCAATTGACAAATATATAGTTTATAATAGATAGGGTAAATGAATATATTTTGGGGTCATAGGTTAAAAAGTTAAACATATTTTAATCACTGCAATAAAATAATTTTTTTCCTGTTTCATTTTTTTTTTAATATAAGTTAAAACAAATAATAAACTGTAAATTAGATACGAATACGACTCTGATTTTATGTAATTATATATTAAGTTTTCTAATGCTTTTATTATTTTATGATGAATTAACTTAATAATTTCATCTACTTTTTCATTATGAATAATGTGGTTAGATTTTTAATTTGACTGTGAAAGTGAAGCTTAATTCTAATTGTTGTTGACACATTTCTGCTTGAAGCATCAATGTTGTAATTAACTTTTAATTTATGATCTACAAGTTAAGTATTCTCTTTAGTAGCTTTAATTAATCATTAAACCGCCTTTGAAACAGTCTTTTTTCTTTGGCAAAAGCGATACGAAATTTACATTTTAGTAAACTATTATGTATTTGTTGTAAATACAGTTTTAGATACATATAAAGATGGACTAGGCATAAGAGACTGCAATTGAAGGAATATTTGTCACTGAATGCTAACTGCATGCAATTAGAGTTTGATAGTACATGTAACATGTTATATAGTGCCTAAAAAGCAAATGTGGATATGAACATAAATACATGATTAATATTAATAATAACCATTTTCATGGCAAAGTTGTGGATCTGTCCACGACGGAGAAATGATATTCTCTAGCCCTGCAGATACAATTAAAACAAAGTTACGACGAAAGTTGGAAATTTGAATGCGATATCTGCGGCTGCGAAACCCGCCTCAATTTCTATGGAAACTGATTTTAATTGTTTGCAAATCTGCATTAAAATGAATACATTATTAAGCGGATTAAACTATTACATTTGTATGTTTTGCAAATTATAATGTAGCTCTTAATGCGGTATTAATTTCAATGATAATTACCAACTTGATTTCATTATTCTGAAAGAACTTCAGTTCTTAAGGTTGGCTTTAATTACAGAAAGTGCGTTAAACTGTTTAAGCCTATTTATAATTAAATGAATGTCCTTTAATAACTTTGATCTTTTTAAGAGGAATTACATCCAACTTTTTGTGCAGTATTTAACTTTCCGAGATTTGTTTTTACTTTAACTCACTTTACCTGAGTTGTACGAATTAAAGTTGTAGGTAATTAATTTTATTGATTTGAAGATCGCAAGTTTCCAAATATGATTAATGTATTCAGTAATGAACATCTTTAATCAATGTTGCAATTTATATTACAATTTGCAAGGATTGTGATGAATGGATTCGGAGGATGAATAAGATGATACTGGTATGAATTAATCTCCACATTGCAAGCATACCTGGACCACAAACAAGATTATCTTCATACGTCGCATGCATTCAGCAAAATCGATCGATCAGTGTTATGGTCAAAACAATGTCTCTAGAGAGGGTTGGAAACAATGAAATTTAGGTCGTCCTGCCTACAGTTTATGCCAACCCACTTCCCCATTGATATTCTTCACCATAGTTATTCTCACGGAGCGTGCATTCTATAAATAAAACGGGGTAGAACATCGAACATATAATGTAGGAAACAATCCGTATACACCGATAAACAAACACAAAAGTTGAATCAATTGTGTTTCATTTGGTTATTAAAACTTTTACGAGTAAAAACAGAAAGTATAATTTATTTTGGCAATGACGAGGGTCCAACAAAATAAGCTTTGTATATTATTTTTGATTTTTTTTTATAATACAATCGATTAATTGTGTCGCGTTTATACACCAGATTTCGTATCGTTTCTGCCAATTAATTAGAGAAGAAAAAAGACAATTTCAAAGGCATTTTAATGATTAATTAATGCTACTAAAGCGTTGAAGAGGATACTTAACTTGGAGATCATAAATTAAACGTTAATTACAACATTGATCCTTCAAGCAGAAATGTGTCAACTACAATTAGAATTAAGCTTTACTTTCACAGTCAAATTAAAAATCTAACCACATTATTCTTAATGAAAATGTGGAAGAAATTATTAAGTTAATTTTAAATCCAACTTCATCATAGAATAATAAAAACGTTAGAAAACTTAATATAATTACAAAAGATCAGTGTTTCAACATAAATCAATAAATGAAACAGAAAAAAGTTTAATATAAAAACTATTTAATTGTAACTAATTTATCAACATATTTCATTGTTACATTTTTGTTTGAATTTCAGTAACTTTATTATATATAAAATAATGGAATCGAAGTATAACAGACAAGCCAATGTTTCATTTCAAACACAGAATACAATTTTCTATATTTATATTTATATTTTTGATATAAAACATTGTTTTATATATACGAGCTGAAAATTCCATTGAAATTCCAACAGCATTTTGTAATTTAAACCTTTTAGGTTCGGTCATAAAATCAATTTTCATCATTCCATTGAATTGTAAATCTTTAATTAATCATTAGAAATATCATCTCGTTTGAAAATATTCTAATTAAATGATTATTTCTGAACTTAATTGGTTATTTAATTAAAAATATCAATTAAAATTAAGATATTAAAAAATATATAATGGAAATGTAAAATATTGATTTTCTTTGATATTTTATAATGAATTTAATTCTAAATATTAATTAAATGTTATTATAAAACAGCTTTCCAACTTTTAGTCATTATGGTATTTTTTTTACAGCGTACATTAAAATATGTTAAAGTTTGTAAATTATGTCCAAAGTTCCTATTTAATGAATATTGATAGTATTATATAAATTAGTAATTACAGCTCTTATTTACCAAAAACTAGTTATATATTTTGACTAAAAAGTTGGTGTTTATTTTGAAATTCTTTAATTATAATAAAAGTTTAATGTGTTTTTATTTTCATGTGATACAAACATTTCATCATCCTCACTCTTTTATAGATATTCTCGAGCGCAAGGAAAATCAATGTGAACGAAGTTAAGTGGAAGATGAATGCATTCCATTTTTCATTGTTTCATCGTAAAAATCTCATTCTATTTGGAAGTGAACATCGTCGAAAGTATTAATATTTTGCCTCACAGTTATAAACGCTTTTTAACTGCGAAGTGGAAGGATGTCAATAAAAAAAGGCAGACAATGGAAGTCGCGTAACACGGTTTCGAGATAAAAGGACGTTGAAGATGAAGAGAAAAAAAAAAATAAAACCGTAATATCTTTGCACGTACAAACACGAGTAAACAAATTGCTTCAGTTGGAGGCGACAATATCTCAATGGATTTACGAAACGAATGGTTGTAGATTCGTAGTGGAAAGAGAAGAGAAGGGCAGGTAAGTCGTGTCGTGCATGTAAGATCATGGTACAAATATACAAGGTTTTCTGGGTGAGTTTCAATAATCAATACGATTTTGCAAAAATGGGAGGGTTTAATGTTGTATATTTATATCAAGTAGCAGTAGAAAGCGCCATCTTTGGTCATGGTTGGGTGTTTGAATCAATGGGTATTGACCTTTGTACCTATTTAGATACGTTGATTGTTCGTTCATTCTATAAATACGTTAAAACTGCGTGAGTTACTATTATTGTAGGTTGTTAGGTCAAGAACCATTGATCAAAAACCATAGCAGGTTTTAACAGATGATGCAAGGTACTCACCAATGCTGGTGTCGTAAGCGTGAAGATATTCTGAAGTCATAAACTGCGAGACGAGGGAGGACTTTCCAACTGCCGGTCCTCCGAGCATTAGGACTCTGTAGGGCGAAGGACCCGGGACGCTTGTGGAGGATTCCCTCGAGGATGCAAGACTGCACGTTGCTGAGGTCCTTGCTGATCCTGCCGAAACGGCGCTGGGCAACTGCTCAGTACTGGAAACAAAACCAACAAAGAAAATTAATCAAAATGCAATGAACACAAAAGTAACTAAAGCAAATGTAGTTTGCGCATAAATTGTTTTCATTCGTGATTGATAGAATATTATTTTTACACAGTGCATATTCTGTCTGATTCTGGTGCACAATAGTTTCGATTTGCAATGATTTCCCAACGGAATTATGCAAGAGTCTGCGATGATTTAAAATCCGGAAAGCGCGTTTCAAAAGCAATTTATGATTACGACGGCCGCTCACCGCATAAATTCAATTTTGTATTACAATGTTTCTTGTGTTTCGAAAACTTAGTTGTCGTAGGTATAATTAACGATGGAAAAGCCCTGCCCGTTCGTCCTCCAACTAACTGTGTTGCATAAAGTTGGCTTGTTAAGTCACGTTGAATACAGTGTTGTGCTATTGAACTCGGTAATTCTAAAGGAAACACTATTGCCGCAGCTATATGAAAAGTTTATGGATTAAAGACAAACCATTTCGTCTTATCTTTCATTTCTTTCTTACATAAAATCTATACGGATTCATTGTTATTATGTCTGCAGCGGCAATTTCTTTCTCGCAAACTCAAATAGAAAATTTAAACATATTTTAATGAAAACATGTAACAGTGAAAAAAATAATTTCAATTCAAAAAATTTCAAAATGTTCATAGTATAATCACTGCGATATATTTTTTAATACGTAAAAAAATTTCAAATGAAACAAAGTTTAAAAATTGTTATTGGAATTTTCATTAATGAAGTTTCAAAAAGTAATAGCTAAAATAACATTTGTTAAGTTTAAGAACAAAAAAAATTATAAGAGCGCTGAAAATTGAAAATAAATTTAATAAATTCAAAATACACAAAGTAAACAATTGGTGTTGCGAAAACGATTGAAAAGAAAGTTCTTTTGAAAACAGAATTAAAACTCTTCGGTTTTTCCGAAAGGGATTAAGAATTTAAATAAAAAGAAAGTACGAAAGTTACTTAATTAAAAAAAAACAATGGATTTTGCTAATTAAAACTCTTCTTTTCTTCTACATTAATTAAAGAAAATAATACTTGAACCTTTAACGTTTTCCTAATATTATATAAATGAGCAATTATTTTTTATTTAAAATTATATTATATCCATGCTATTTATTTTGTTCATTCTGTTTTTATTTTCTTTTTTTGTCTCATGGCCAAAAAACATTCGACTTATTGCCAGAAAGTGTTGGAAAATTGTGAATAAATAATAAAACTTATAAAAAAAATGTAAAACTGTTTCAATATTAAAATTTTACTTTTATAAATATTTTCATGTTATATAAGATTTTTTTTTAATAAAATAAGGGTGAACATAATTGTTTTTTTTGTCAATTTCGCGATTGGTGTAAAATTCTTTCGGGTTTGAAAGCTCTGAGTTGACAATATTTATAAATCGTTTCTAACTTCATTTAAATTTAAAATATATTTAAAACTTTCATGTGTTTTTATATGTAATTATTGTGTAAATTTTAATAGTTTTTGAAATCAAAATGCAGAATCAAATATTGCCTATTTTTGACATTATATACGATTTGCAAAATTGCTAGTTTACTAGTTGCATGTTCCAATTAACAATTAACAATGGAGAAGTCTCAAAGCAATTACATGTATTAATTACCTAATATTCAGATACGCTCATAACTGACGATGTCTATTAATATCAAGCTATTATGTATTTCAGTTATTAATTAGCAATAATTCCAATGTACAATGCAAAGAAAATTCTGTCTTCAAAGAATAACGATAAATCCTCAAAACATAAAGTAGATGCGCCGGGTAACAGAAGAAAAAATATAAATTACAATTTAATTTTACGATTTCGAACAAAATTATATTCCAAAATTGAAGCTTTGAGTAATCTAATAAATTTATAAAAAGGTTGAAAAGATCAGACATAAAATATTTATATTATTGGATTAATTACAGAATCTCTAATTAATTATCTTAATTGCGATATTCTTGGCGCTAGGTGAGTATTAAGATAGAGATATTAAGACATAGGATGAATGGGCTTGGTTGCAATGATATATGATATTGAAATATGTTTCCCCTTAAGTACATTATTCAAATTTCCAGAGAGGAAATCACAGCGTACCACGAACTAACCCAACATCAGGCAAAAGACGTGACTTCGTGAATTAGGATCAGAGGAATTCAGGATCTGCGGTCTTATGAAAATCAAACAGAAGCCAGCAATTAAGGTTCATGCAGTCTCTAACTTCGCCTCGTTACTTCTCCAATATATTATATATTATGTGGAATTATTCAATCGTATTGAAAGCTACAATTAAACATTGTTTCTAAATTAATTGCTTCTTCCAGCATATCAATGCAATTAATCATTATATAAGACGATTAATTGATATCGCTATAGTACAGAGTTATAGGAGAGTTTACTATATAACACAAACATTGAGAAAACGTTGAAACTATTATGCAAACCCTCTTCACTTGACACCGGAGAGCACGATGGAATTAAAGTGGAAACTTTTATTTAATCTTTCAGATTCGACCGAACCAAACTCACTCCATGTCTGAGCTGTGACTTCTGCAAGTTTCTAAGAATATCTTTTACCTTTTTTGTAACGGAAAGTCCAGCTACAGTTTATGGAGAAAAGATTTCTATAGACACAGATCAATATTAATGTAATATACATGTATTGAAACAACTTTAATATTGTTTTATTAATAATTTCTTCAAAGAATTTTAGATATAAAATTATTAGTTTACATATAAATTGTACGCGTTTCTTCAATAAACTGTGTTTGTAAATTAAATTAATAGATTAATTATTAATCATGTGTTTAAATATTTTCTTTTCCATCCTTCCTTCAAATCGTTTAAATTGAGATTGACAATCCATTATTTTTATATATTATAATTAAAACATTAAAAATGTATATAAATAATTTTAATAATATGAAGTAATTAGTATAAAGATAAAATAATTAAATAAAAATATCGTAAAATGTTTTAGGGTTTTGAGTTATATTCATAGCTATAAGCAACATTAACACGTAAGAGCAATATGTTTAATCTGACAGATTGATGAAGCGTATTAATCTCATTAAGATGGTTCACAATATCGGGATCGGTAATTACGTGTAAATAGGTTAATTCCTTCGATATTAGTTTCCCAACTAAATATAAGCAAATCAAATAACTTCAACAATCCACCGAATTTAATAAGAATAATATAAATGATTAGATAATATTTAGTTTATTTTAGAATATGCATCGAGCTAAAATTGTTGTAGTAATACTTCTCTATACAGGAAAAGAACGAAGATGTATATCGAAATGTGGTGCTTACGTAACGGTAATGTTCTAAACGCGGAGAACTTCAAAAGTGCCATCAGGCTTATCGTTGCAATATACCCGAGGAAATGACAGGTTTAATATTAAGTCGTTTACCTTGAGTTTCGTTTGAAACTCGAAGATGAATGTCACGAGATAAATTTAATTAAATATTTATCTTTGCAATTAAATCAAATCGTGGAAATTTCATTCTTAGTTTAAAAAACAATATGTTTACAGGCGGATTACGGTTAATTCGGGTTAATTTCTCTAAATTCATTTTCTACTTTAAATACTATAGGAAAATATCTTGGTTCAGGGTCACTGAGATCCTCATTTTTTTTACAATTCATTCGCGTTGTTCGATTGTGTAATTTTCGATAACTTAATCTCAAAGATAACTAATGGCAGCCTATAAAAATCTACTATGGTTTTACCAGAAAAAATAAATGGCAACAAATGTAAAATGTCAGTTCTTTTTGGGACACCCTTTATTTTTTTTATATGTTAATACTGTGATAAAAAAAGATACAACCTACTTCCAATTTGTATTGTTTATGCTATGAAGTTATATGCCCCTAGGAAAATTCATTTTCTTGGCCTCAAACATACTAAAAATATCTTAGTTCAGGGTTATCAAATGCACAGGAAATAATTAAAGCGATTAATTAAAGAATTGCAAGTACCTCGATTTATTTTAATTTTATTTTTCTCTCTATTCTAGCATGAAACGAACCGCAGAATGATGTGCTCATTATCGCGCTCGAATAATTAATTAATTAATGATCAAATTAAATTCTCGTGAAAGCGCATTCGGTTTCAAAGCGAAATCTGAGCTTTCGAAAGATGAAAGAATAAAATAAAAAGTAAACAGGAACAACAAATAATGAGGCTCTAAATGAGTGACAATTCGCATTATATTATCACGTTGTTTGTTGCCAGATTCCGGAATTCGTTGATATAATAAAAAAAAACGAGTCTTCATTAATTATCCTAACTCGCTTACCGTTCACAATATCTGCCGAGCATCGCAATTGCTGAGTAATAAAGCATTGTGATTAATTCGAGGAACTGATGGTGGATGCTTTCTGATTTTAATAACCAAAGCTTCAAAATCGTTCAGTAAGTAGATTTTAACGATAAAGAAATAACTAACTAGCTTTTCGTATGCAATTACATGTAATAAAAGATGTCCCAAAACTAATTGATATTTTATTTTTTTAATAAAACACATTTTTTATTTGATAATTGATAATAATGTTGTAACACAAAACATCTGACAATTCAACATTCTTTTGCTGGGAAATTTCAGTAATTTGTCGAATTTCATCTGTGAGGTCCTCATTTTTTTTTTACAATTCATACAATTCGATCATGTACTTTTCCATAACTTAACCTCGTTGTTTATTAATAACAACATATCTAAATCTCTACACTGGTTTTACCGTGAAATAAAAAAGGCGGCAAATTTAAAATGTCAGTTCTTTTTGGGACACCTTTTATTTTTTTTTGTATATTAATGCTGCGATAAAAAAGATACAAGCTTTCTTCACTTTGTATAACATAATGATGTCAGTTTTGTAAAATTATTAACTTCGATGGTCTACTTAAAAATGTACACTTATTTAGATACAATTTAATAAACATTGAAGTAATAATAAATATAATAATACTTATGGCTTTCGTGATATTTTGTATTGAGTAATAACAGTTGCCTAGTTTGAACCACATGAGGTTGCCTAAATTGGCCCGGTCCAATAGGACCAAAATCTCAAAATAGTTTTAAAAACAAGTAGTTTCTTTACATATATATTATGGAAAGTTAAACAAAAAATAAGTAAAATAATAATGAACAATATTCTATTATTGACAAGATCGAGTGCAAGGACAACAAGACACGATGAATAAATAATACTTAAGAAAACTTTGCCTGTTTGTCATTGACAATATTTATATCATTTGACTGTCCATTCATGATGACGATCGCTCTATTGCTGCAAGTACTGAAAGGGCTTATAAAGGGCCTGGAATGACCAGGATTCGAACCGTGGTTAGGGCGACTTAACCATTCGGCTATTAATCGCACCCTTTGTAGTATATGCATATTATTGGTATAATTTCAATGAGTCAATACTTAAGAAAACTGAAAAATGTTTTCTATTATCAACAGTATTTTGTTGAAAAAATAAATTATCTCATTGTAATAATTGCACTTTTCATTTCTGTTCTTTTTGGTAATGTAAAATTTAGATGTGACAGATTTTAATAGACGCAATTGTACTTAATTAATTAGATTGAATTCTCAGTAAGGAATGAACGGAATTTGTAAAGAAATCTCTTGCGTTTAGTACACACGTGCACGTATGAAAGAAGAAAACAAACCGATGTAGTTCTTCACAAAGAATCAGCGATCTGAAAGGATGCGAGAGCTTCGTGTGCGTTGGGAAAGGTGATATCGATTATCCTGCAGCAAAAGCTCCGGTCTCCCCTCTCGATCCTGAACGGGACGTTAAGTAATATCTCCATGTATCTCAATCACCTACACTGCGTGGGTGCAGATAAACGAAGGAGGAGCAGAAATACTCGACTCCTGTGATTCTTTAACCGGGACCCGTATTCAAATTTGAATAGCGCCGAGGCTTAAGGAAATACCGCACCGAAAATTTCAATCCGTCGCGATCGATGCAAAGAGACAAATACGCGTTTCTCCACAAAAAAAAATATATAAAGTTACAATAGAAGCAAAAAAAAAATATCACAATGAATCGCATGAAAAGGCATTGACTGAAAGGTCTCCCTTTGTTGCAACTACCACCACGCGAATTTCATATTTTAATTCGCATTGAAAACGTATGAATTACGTAACGTTACGAATAATAAATATTATGCTGAATATAATTTAAATTATGTATGCATATTTAATATCAGATCTAATTGAGTATAATTACAAATGCATTTATTCCATATTAATATCGAATAATAATACCGTTCTTGTTTGCTCAACCATCTAGTTATTCTATTTAATTTAATTAAAACTCGTATAATAAGCAAATATTTTTTGTAATTATTAAATTTTGTTAATTTTAATGTAATTCGCTTAGAAAATTCCATTACTGTCTATACAACAGCTGTCGATTAGAATGCAATTCGATTTTGCACATCTGGTTCGCTTGGAAAATCACTTTGATTCTAATTCTGATTTTTTTTTCTACCCCGAGTGCATCGAGGTTTCTACTTTAAACTTGAATTGACTCGGATGTTTGCCTTTTGGTGGAAAATGGAACGCACTATTTTTAAAACGTCGACAATGTTTGTTTTTTTAAACTGTTTGGACAGGAAACGGACAATATTTGGACAGATCGCGATCGTATTTTTACTTTGACGACTACACATTTCCATTCCAACTTATACCAATCAAAATATGATAAATATATTGGTTAATTATGTTTATATTTGATGATGCAAAAAAATTAAAAAAAAAACAATTATTATTAATTTAGTATTTAAATAAAGAGTGTCCCAAAAATAACTGACATTTTGTATTTGCCGCCATTTTTTTCGTGGTAAAACCAGGGTAGAGATTTGTATATCCTGTCATTAGTAAACATAGATATTAAGTTATGGAAAAGAACACAATAGAACAACTCGCAGAAATTGTAAAAAATCACTTAATAAATGATGTACATTTTACTGAAAGTGTTCGCAGTTGCCGTACATTGTTTGGTCATCGTAATGGATGTAAATATAATTTTTCCAACTTATACCAATAAAAAATGATAAGTATATAGTT